AGACCGGGAACCATAGTCCCACGTAATCTGCACTCCCGGCGCGGCCTCGGTGATCAAGACTTACTCGCCAAACCTCATGGTTCACCCACTCATGCGCCAAACCCCATCAGACGCGGCATCCGCCAGCTCCGGTTCGCGGGACACCGCATCGACGGACCCGGACAAGATCTCGGGTCCCATCATCGACATGCTCGCCCGCCTACACGTGCTCGTCATTGGGCCCGGGCTCGGCCGTGACCCGCTGATGCAGGAGACTGTCGCGCGCGTCATCCGCGCCGCCCGCGAGCGTTCGATCCCGCTGGTTCTCGACGCTGACGCGCTGCTCATCGTGCAAAAGGACCCGGGACTGGTGAAGGGCTACGATTTGGCCGTGCTGACGCCCAATGTCGTCGAGTTCTCGCGGCTTTGTAAGGCGCTCGAGGTCGATGAGGGCAAAGTGAAGGATCAGGCGGGTGGTGGGGGGGAGGAGAAGGAGACGGCCAAGGTTGAGGCGCTGGCGAGGGCTTTGGAGGGTGTTACTATTGTTCAGAAGGGGGCCAAGGACTTCATTTCGAATGGGAAGGATACGTTGATCGTTGACCTGCAGGGCGGGTTGAAGAGGAGTGGTGGGCAGGGTGATACACTTACGGGGTCAATAGCGACGTTTTTGGGATGGAGGCATGCGTATCTTGAGGGCTTGTGGGATAGGGGTAGCGAGACGATCAAGGAGGATGAGTTGGTTAGGCTTGCTGCCTTTGGAGGGAGTGCTATTACGAGGGTAAGTCGATTGCTGTTGCTGAGATTCTGGATGAATGAGTGGCTTACTGACTGCTTGTAGGAATGCTCGAGGCGTGCTTTCCTGAAGAAGGGACGCAGCTTGCAGGCGAGTGACTTGACTGACGAGGTCCACGGTGCCTTCATGACGCTGTTTGGCGAGGTGGATGGCAATGCTGGCGCCACCAAGCTGTGATGAAAGGAGAAGTCTCGGGGCTCATGTAGTTGTAGTACCGTAGACGAATATCATGCCATGCGGTAAACAATATCGATTGACAGCTTCCTTCCTCGAACAGCAGCTCCAAAAATCGTCAAAAGGACGCTCGACCCCGATAAGTTTTCGAGTCAATTGGAAGGTGCCTGTTCAATTGCATTTGTGGGATGGAAGGCATCAAAAGGGGCAAAGGGTTTGAAAAAGCAAAACCTCAGGTGCGCAGTCCGTAAATCGAACTGAGCCCCTACGAAATTCTCCATCCGTTGACTTCTCGAGATTTCATACCAAGTTCTGTACTAACGGACCAGGGCGTTATACCGCTCGGCCATGGGGATCGATCGGGCTTGGTTGACGAATGACGACCTCAACCTGAATACAAAGCGAGGCCCCATGCCTGGATTGGACGGGAGTGGTGCTGCGGAAGGAAGGAGCGAAGATGGGATAAGGCTGTCGACTTATAGGCCATCCAGAAATGCGGCAGCCATTTTTAATGGTAAGCTGAGGCTGCGAGAACAATATCCTCCGTGCGTATTCTTGGAACACTACAATAGGACGCATGCCCTTCTACTGACTATGAAAACAAAGATTTGCACAGCTTTTGAGCTCTTATTTAAGACAAAGTCACTGACTTCTTTCTAGATATCTTTCTCTCTTTTTTTAACTTATACTTCCCCTAGGCGTTCCCCGGTCATACAATTTAGCCATTGACAAGAAATGCCATGTAATAAGCATCATAGTCCTTGGTATCGAGATCTCATCAAGGCAAGACAGCGTAAATCCAGGACCCTTATCTCAGAGGCATACTCTAGAAAGACTCACACATACAAGCCGTCATCCAGCCTTTCCTCTTAACTTTTGTGTATTACCACGTGATGCCGCGAACAGCGCTCAAAGGCATGATTTAATGCTGGGTTTATTTATGGTGTACTTGACCTACGTTCATGAATGAAATCCGTCACCATTGGCTACATCTGAGGAATTAGATAGAGTCATCGATCTTAGTCGCATTCCTGCGACCGTCATGGCAAGAGCATGATCTTGCCGCAAAATCCTCTCTAAAGAAAGAAGAATTCTACCATTGCTCCTCCACCAGGCCTGCTTTATATTCGTGGGATGAATAAGTAAGAACGCGAACAGGGCAGTATTAAGTGTTGACATAGTGATTCCTTGCTATTTGAAAGATAGTCATCTAGGAAGAGTGTGAGGAAACACTTATCCCACTCGCCATTTATAGGATAACAGCGTGCTAGGAACTTCGACTAGATACGGGCTGGTGTGCTTTTGTGAAAGCGTATTTACTGAACATGACCTTTATACTAGGTGCCACAAATCGATATGCGGATGTTAACGCTCTACTTGCTAATCATTTGGGTCATACAAACGGCCTGTCACGGTCTCCAAGGCTGAGATTGACACAAACTTACTTGCTGGGAAATGGCAGGATGCCTGGCCAAAGCCATAGCTTGTTGGCAGAATAATGTGGTTCGTTCAGGTGGCCTTACTTCCATCTTATCCAAGACATCCTCACTTGCTTCCTGATTCTTCATCCATCACTCTAAATCATTCTTGTCGACGTATTCATCTAATAACCAGACGAACCGGATGGAACCTAGAGCCTCATGATCTTCGACTTCCAATGTCCAAGCTCAACTTGAAGCACACACCTGTGAGAGATAATGCACATAATACATTGTAACAGTACATTAAATACAAAGATGCTATGACACATAGACTGGGATTTGCTACAGATAAGCGGCAAGGAGGCCCCTTGAGGTTGCAGTGTCTTAAAACGCCACCGTTGAAGTGCAGAGATGCGCTTTAGAGACCTGGCGTGCAAGATAGTAACAGGGAAGACTTCTTTTTCTTGAAACGATGAAGGGAAGCCCAAGATGAAGGATTATCTGGAAAGTTTTGATACACCAGGCCTTGCAAGATGAAAGCTAATAGATCAAGGTCCAATGATCATGCCCAGTGTCATAATGGGTACTCGAGAGCAGTACGAATATCCCCTCCGGAGATCACTATCTGAATGTTTATCCCCTATAGAGAATCATCTCGAAAACTGTCGAAAACCTAAAGCATAGACAGAGGATCACTTGTGAGAATCCTAGTTAAAGGCTTCATAATATGCCTGATATCTTGATAACATAAGCAAGCTGACTCTGACCAAGATACACTCACTATGAAGTACTCAACTCGAATAGATTCTACAAACCCAGCAGAGCAACATTTCACTTGGGCACCTACACCTACTTTCGATTTGAAATCCTCCATCACTACGGACACCTTCTCGTCACCAACCTCATCCGGAACCAGATCCGGGCCGAACCCCCCCCCCGGTACACCCCCGAACTACATGTATCAAACTTACACCTCCTCGGCTACGAACCCGACAACTCTCATGACGGAAGCAAAGACTACCAAAGGTACTTCAAGATTGAGAGAGTTGCGACGAAGAGCTAGAACTCCGAAACCCCAGACATACCCCGAGGACGTATCGAAGAAGGGGTTCGGATGGCATGTGTTAGCCGCCACAAACATCCCGGACTCCACACGAAGTATCCCCGAGAACTACCATCTCGCTCCTTCCCCGCGTTTTCCTTTACCCCGGCAAAGCCCCCGGGTTCCTCCATTTGATCCTCAGTCTTGTCTAGATTGAATGTGAACTTGTAGAATAATGCGCACATACATATCTCGTAGAGGAGGAGCTACGGCCTGAAACTGAAGCGGCGTGCCATCGATGCACGTTGGCAGAAAGGAGGACGGCGGGCGTGCGGGCATCCGCACCAATCCATCAGCCTTACCCGCTCCCCTCAATCTACAATACAACATAGAGAAGATACTCCCATAGGACCACCACATGAGCGCCTCGTGTGCAAGGTCCAATGGTCGGACGAGAGGGATACCGCGTCAGACCTGGGAGTTCAAAACATCATTATACATGGACTGACTGCACGCTCTACGATGACAGATCCACCCTTTTCCCCAAGCATACCTTATCGAAGTCTTTAGCAAGAATAAATCGGATGAAGGCAAATACCTTCTCCAGAATCAGTCATGCGGTGTAGATAAAAAAAAAAAAAACGACAAAAAATAGGCTGATGATGGCGTGGTTTCCCTATCCGCGGCTCTATCCGCGGCTCTATCCGCTCCAATGCGAGATGTTCGGTTCGGTCCACAGAGATCCGTCCCAACATTCACCACTCCGGTAATCCTGATCTAGATCCGTGGCCTTTCTTGAACTCTCTCGTTCAGATGAGGCGATTTGACCTTCCCTGATAGCGGGTGTAGGAGGGGAGAAGTGAATGGAGACGTGGCGGTTCCTTCTTTTCAACCCAAATTGAAGATTTATTTCACTCTTCTTCAAATCAATCACCTGAAAGTCTAGAAACCGCCTTTGGCAACCAGCACCACTCTATTGTTTTTCCATCTCAAATATACGTGAGGTGGGCGCCTTGAGAAAGTACACAGCCATGTGGCATCTCAAAATATTGCAGTTCCCCTCGTACGTAAGTTGACCATGCATAATGGCTCTCACCAACCTCATCCTCCCTTCTCGAGGTTCACACTTCCTTCACCTTCAAATATGAGGTAAGCAATCTTAGTCATCACATCCCAACTCCCTCCCCAAACGGACCTGCAAAATTCCATCCAATCATGACACTCCCTTTTCTACCATCACCCACTTCCTATTCCCGGGGAAAAGCCACAGCACCTTCAACACTGTAATAGCAGCAGCAAACCAGTAAAGAGGCGCCCGTTGCGAGTCCCCCGTCCGATTAAGGTGCGCGGGAGTGTGCCAGACAGTGTGCCAGCGTAGGGTGCACGTCCAGTCCGCGCCCGCGAAATTTCGGAGCGCCGCAGCAGCGTCTGTTTGTAGAGGGAGGAAGGAGCTTTGGTCATCGCCTCTGCCTCTCAACAATTTCGCGATCCAAACCTGGAAAACTGTCCGCCGCTCTTCCATCCCCGACCAACCTCTGCCAATTGCCCCGTCACGACAATCCCTTTCCAAACCACAAATACCAGATTCAAAATGGCTGCTATTGTCAAGGCGATCAACGCAAAGATCAGGTCCAACCCTGTGTCGGACTATGTCTGCTCTACCCGTACGTTTGTGCCTGCGCGCCCGTCTCTCGAATTTTTTTTTCCCTCTCGCGGCTCCGTTGTCCGGAGTTAGCGGGGATTATCCCACACATCAAATGGGAAAAGGGAGCTTGCTTGAAGCTATCACCAGCTATCGCATGGCATCCTAGAGTCCCCGGACAATCATTGATGAAGCTTGTTTGGTCGAATCCGTTGCGATTGGCGTGCCGGACCGCCCCCCTCCAGGCCCCCGGCGCTTACGGACCACGATACTCCGGTGCCGGCCGCTCGCGATAGCTTCAAGATGGACGTTGGACGGCAAGCTAACCCGTCACGCACCGCAGATTTCTGGGGCCCCGTCTCCAACTTTGGTATCCCTCTGGCCGCTGTCATGGACACCCAAAAGTCCCCCGACCTGTACGTCGAATCCCTTTTCCTCTCCCGACTATCCGAATCCTCGGACAAGATAAGATGCTGATACACCATGCCCTTTCCGTAGGATTTCCGGCCAGATGACGGGCGCTCTCTGCATCTACTCTGCCACCTTCATGCGCTACTCCCTCGCCGTCTCGCCCAAGAACTACCTCCTCTTCATGTGCCACTTCATCAACGAGGGCGCCCAGCTTACCCAGGGATACCGTTACATGCAGTACAACTACTGGGGAGGAAAGGAGGCTTCCGCAACCAAGGACGCGTTCGAGACTGTTCAGAAGAAGGCTGATGCCATCGAGGCCAAGGTCGAGACCAAGGTCAAGGAGGCTGTTGGCAAATAAATGTGTACTCCTCACTCGAGGGAGAGGGAGAAGCTTGGAAAGGGGGCGATATGAGGCGGCAGACACTTGCTGGCTGGGTGTGGAAAGGCCCTCGCCAACATAATGACGACGCAGAGGGGAGGTCGAGTTTGATGTGAAAAGAGCGCCGAGAGCTTGTCACGAGCCCACGGCTGTGGTGAGGACTTGACAGGAAGAAATCCCCGTCGACAGCACGGCACAGCATAGCGTGGCATAATGTGGCAATGCCCAGCCGCGGCGGGACAGTAGCTGGCAGTTCTGTACCATCACCTTGCATTGTTGTTTTGCTTTTCGGAAACGGACCCTGATTCCCCGGGGAAACACTCAGGGACGAGCCTCTTCATTACGGCCCGCAAAGTCGTAGAATAGAACAGCGAACTGTTTCTGGAACCCGGCAAGTGTGGCAGCTCTGAATCGTGAAAAGTCAAAGTGATGTTCTTGGCAGCAAAGGGTCAAGGACCAGAAGCCAAGCAAGCGGCCTGGACTAAGGCACTACCACATGGACCTGAATAAGGTGGGTAGCAGTAATGGCGAGCCGTAGACGAATGAAAATGGGCACGGAGGTTGTCGTCGTCGTGACGGTGCTTTGACTGTGGGCCAGCGGTTCTCGGGGCCTCGACCCGAAATCTCAAAGTTCTTACAACCAAAAAAATGGCCCTGTTGTCTACTTCTTCCGCACATCATGGATCTAAATCAACCGCTCTTCTGGGCCTCAGTTGACGGTCCTGACGGACGGAGCGGAGCGGAGCCCTCCTATTTCGGGCGAATCGCGCATGGTTTCAAGGGCCGGGGCCGGAGACAGCACAGGGTGAGCTAAATTCGATGAGTCAAAAAATAGGGTGTCGTCTCATCTCTGCTGGACCAAAAAGCCGCGAGAGTCGTGGATACTGCACCACCATGGCATGGTGGCATGGTGACATGGTGGCCCTCTCCGAAACTGCGAGAGCACCGACATGATGACCCCCACTCCCCTCCCTCGTTGCTGGCACTTGGAGTCTTGGACAGGCCGCAGATCTCGCCGGACGGCCGGCCGAGTGCAGATCCATCTTCGCTTTTGGGACCGCGCATGTGCTGGAGTCCGGCGTTATTAATCGTGGGGTGCAGGGTGGGTACGCAGACGGCGTATGCCTCAAATAACCTGTGATATCCGGACGTGGAAGAGTCACACAGAGGCCGATCACGCAAGCTGGCAGACCCTTTCCTGCTGAAGAAGGAAACGGGGGGCCAGCCAGGTGAAATAAATGTCGCAGCATGTCATGAAGCCATCGCTAATTGCTATTACCATCGACATCCGCGCGCCGGTTTGGTGGCGGACTGAAGATACGCCGTGAGTAGACGTGCGCAGTTTCTTTCACCAAGAAGCTTGAATGCCCAAATGCCGGACCAGCCGAGGTCGGAGTATCCAGATCTGGGTTGAGAGTCATCCTCATCCCATGGTGGGCTTGTTTTCAAATTCTGATGTCAAATTTTCTCGCTTCTTCGCGCTTTGCGGCCTTGCCAACGCCGCTTGGGTGCTTGCGCGATCTGGAGGGGACAAAAAGAGGAAACGGAAAGAAAAATAGCCTTGTTGCAGATGGGGGGCCAAGAGTCTTGGATCGTAGGTTACCCAGTAGTCTGGGCTTAGCTGCGTAGGATAATCTGGCCGAATCGCCCTTGAACTTGCAGCGCAAGTGAGATCCAGCAGGGCACCTTGGCGGTGTGATGAGTCGAGAATCAGATGGCTGATGCAAAGACTTGCATCTATACTGCCAACTTTGATGTTTCCAAACCTCCGGTCGTGGTGTCGTTTTCAAAGACGTTGTAAAGTCGATCCGAACGTGGTCTAGGAGTCTAGGACAGCCCAAATAACTCATGTAACCAATGATGCGAGATTGGATTTGGTAGTGGGAGAGATTTTGACTAGTGGACCGGGAATAACGCCCATGTATTTTATGGAGATGCGTGGTTTTGTCAAGATTAAGAAGAACCTGGAGGGTCTGGGGGGTGGTGCGCTTCCATACTCCCTGTGTGGCTTCATGCGTATTGCTGGCCTGTTGCACATGTGGTGATGTCCATCCACCTAATTGAAGAATAGGAAGTGTGGGCGGAGGTTGGTCGGCGGGTAGGTGAGATAGCCAGGCCGGGCCAAGGTCGGCGTGGCCTGCCTTGTCGTCGTTTCTGGGCACGCAGCCGTCAAGCCGCCGCCATGTCCCTCGGGGCAAGAAACCGAGGTCGACGATATCTTCGGTCTGCTTTGCTCTCTCGTTGCCGTAGGCTGGAGGCGGTACCTAGCACACGCCTCGGGAACTCTGACAAAGGGGTACGAGTACAGCATGACGCGCCGGACGGATGAACCCTGTGAAAGTCACCCCGCATTCTGCAATGGATTGGACCGCGGGGCAGAAAGGGCGAAAAAGGTCAGGGACGAGTTGACGAGCAGGTGAAAGATTATCCATCAAAGGCTGATATCGCGTCGAGTTGTCCCGAAGCAAAAAGAGAGTAGCCGGTAGTTGTGGTGATTTGGTGGCAGTGGTGCTGGTTTCAAGAGGCGGACGCCCGAACGACACGGCGCAAAGCCGTGTTATCCTCGGCTTCGGCAGTCAAGAGGCCCGGAAGACCCATGTAGCTGTTCTCGTGAAGCCGTGAAGTGCTCGTGGCATCGCGAAGTTCGCCGAATGTTTTGCTTTTCTTTTCGGGAGTTGACGAGTTGATGTGACATGGTAGACGGCAACTTGGGGTAAGGTAACTTGCAAGGTACCTGATGGTGGAAGGGAAGCCGAGAGCACTGAGGAAGGAAAGAGTGAGGCACAGTGCTGTCGGCCTGCCTGCCGCTACCTTAGTTGCTCATGGTAATTGCGGTCTTGCCTTGTGACAGGCGCCACCACCTGTACCTAAGGTACCTTCGAAAGAGATAAAAAGACAGGCGCGAGGTACAAGGTACATTTTACTCATCGGGTTGCTTTCCATGTCATTTAATTTGCAGGTACAGTGTTGTTAACTTCTATTCGTTTGTACTGGATACTGCTGGTGCCTGTCTGTCTCGCTTCTTTAGCCCTCGTAACGAGTAATTGCCCTTTGTGTTTGTATTGTAGAGTAATTCGTTTGACATTGCCCGTCCTGCTGTTTCCCATGTTGCCCATAGACAGACAGTAGGTATGCACTTGTCATGCTGGTAATGTCACTAATCCCGCCCAGGAGTTGTCACCTCGAGAAACCGTTAGTCAACCGGAGGAAAGCTGTTTTGTATCGGCAGGCTCTGGTTGGTCAATTCCTCCTGGTCTAGCGGTGTTTTGCGACCCCGCCAATCTTTCTTTACTTTTAGAATATTTATTCATTTTCTGTTACTGCTGGCTGCATTCTTCAGGTCCAGGCCTTGTCTGTTTGAGGGTCTCGATAGACGCCTCTCGTGGGGTTCCTCTGGTTCTGCCATGGTCGCTACGAGGCTGTCCGTATTCTAAAGATAACAGTGTTTCTTTGGGGGTCGTTTCTGTTCATGGGCAGATCTCTTGGCTATCCTCACTAATCGTCTCAGGAGCTGCGGTCAAGGCGCCGGCGGGCTGGAGACGACCTGATAAACGGAGACGGAGGCTGGAGCCGGTGGAAACAGATCTCGGTCAGGGATGGGCGGGGATTGGGGGGTCTTGCTGCTATTCTCAGGGCAACCGTACTTCTTTTCAGACTTTCACGGCGTTTCTCTCGCGGGGGCATTGCAGAGCCAAGAGGTATCAGCATGTCAGGTTGGTCTCCCATGGACGTTTCCTACGCAGCATGGGGACTGAATACGGGTACCTGTCGCACCTTGATCCTTGGCAGGTTGTCGGGCCTTTCCATCAACTTTCCTCTTCAAGATGGAGTTATCAACTTGAAGACAAGTGAGGATGGAACTTGAGTGACATTGCTCTGCATCCGTCTCAACCCAATGCCAAGGACGGCAACAAGGCGAGGCGGTGGACTGCAGACATCCCAAGTGCGAGGATCAGCCATGCCTTGCCGCCGTTGTCGTCAGTCAGGTGGGACGTGGGAGATGAACATTGAGAAGCCGAATGCCGGGGAGACATTCCATTGCATGTTATGGCATGTCATTTTCGATCGAGTCATCGTCTTGATGGTTGATTGGCAAATCGTGTACCTAATAGAAGATGGGGGTGACTTTCTTTGGTCTCTTCTTTCCCTGTCTGGACTCTGGAGGCTCCCTCTTTTTCTCTTTTTTTCTTCTCTTGTCCTTCTTGCCGCGACAAAGCGGCTGTTTGAGTAGTGCAGCTTACATCGCAGAGTGGCCTAAGCTCCTGTCCTAGACAGGGCAGCTACCATCGAGGAGTGTCAGTGGACGAGGGGGGCAGGAAGGGAAGGGGGGCAACTACCTTACCTTACCTTACGGAGTACCTACCTTAGGTAGGTCTGGATGGATGTACCTTGTACCTCGGTACCTTGGTACATGATCCGCGGTCTCACCCTTCCCCCTCTTCTTCCCCTCCATCCATCCATCCCACCACCATCCTCTGCTCCGTCTGAGCCAAATCTTCACCGTCCCAGCGGCGTCTGCAACGCGTCCCTCTTGCATCTCTGGCTGCGAATTATGTTGATGGATGTACACTGGTACAGACGACCCTCGAGAAATGCTTTACTTTGGCGCTAGTAAGCTGGAGACAAGGTCCCCTCCTTCATGACACCGAAAGGTGGACAAGTCCCTCTCTCTCCGTCTCTTGTCTTGTCACTCAACCCCAGCTCCAGCCGCCAGCCGCCAGCCTCCAGTTACAACATCGTCGTCGCGGGTTCCCTGTCGTTGAGCAAGTCACTCCGGCCATCTGCAACACCAAGATTGGCTTGGTCTGAACTGTGACTGAGGGTGGACGGTGGACATGGGCGGATGGATCTGGCCTGGCCTGGTCGGGTCTATCTCTGTTCTCCGTCTGCCATTGTTCGGTCTAAGCTGGGGTGTACCTACTAATCACAGATCATGGCCCGTTACGCACTCTGGACGAAGAATGTTTGCTAGGGCCTGT